GTTTTTGGATCAAAATCAATTCTATTTGATGGTTATTGCTGTTGAGACTTGCTGATTGCTCCTGTTAGCTGTTGAATTGCTGCTGACCTTTCCTTCTTCTTCTTATATTTCCAACACCAGGTACACATTTGAGCTTCTTTCACTGTAGATCCCCTGCTGAAAATGAAATGAAACTGAAGTTCATGCTATAGATCCATTGTTTAATATTCCTGTTATGTTTGAATGATTTTTTGTGCGATCTAGTTGGTCGTCCAGTGTAATTAACAGTGGACTGTAATTAGGACTTTTAAAACGACTTGGACTGTGTTGATTTCCAATTTGTAGTAATCTTAAAGTGGCTGTTAACGCCAAACAGGACAAGTAGTTCATTGAGATTCGATTAGCATTGTTAGTATACATAGTACTAGACTGGCTGAATTGTATTAATATAATTTGTAGTTACTTAGCTTTAGATTTAGTATAGTAATACTTCTTTAGCCTAGCAATTTTCTGTGTAAAATTCAAAATCATAAACAGTTTAAGTTTGCAATTGAGTTGGAGTTAATGGTTGGTCACGTTGAGTACAATTCTAAGCAAATGTTCAATGCAAATGTTGATGATTCTAGGTCAGTAATCGAAGTTAATAGTTCACTCTAGTTTTAGTTGTTTACTCATCAGTTGGTTCTTAAATTTAACTGTTGATCAAAGGGTGAAATAGCTGTGGCATGGTGATTGTGTGAATTCCAGTTTTGTTCCATCATCAGTGTGTTCCGAATTAAGCCTTGTTGCTGGGCTCACGTTAGCCCAATGGCATGAAGCCTTGATAACCACCGGTTGTCTAATTTCTGGCCCTCATTTGGGCCTGAAGCCCAATTTAATTGCTCTCTCGCGTATTGGGTTGTTTTGGGGCCTAGTAAACTGAAAATCATAGACTTGAGATTTAAGCCTCTTCGAATGCTTTTAATGAACTGATTGGTTAGTAAGTAATTAGGGCTTTTTTTTTCCTTTTATTTTTAGAGTCAAACAAAGATAGAAAATCGTATTCGCTTTTAGGTTTGCCTGTTAAACAATAAAAGGGACGAGCCTCGCCGAACAAAACCAACACATTGTGAGGGCCCTCGATAAATGTTTATACTAAAAACAATTAGATTTCGGATCGGGCCGTTTAGCGGATTTCACGGCCCTTCCTATAATAACAACGCGTTAGTCTCTTTAGGCACGCTTTTAAAATTACTCTCTTAAACTCGGGTACACATTTATGTGACCCAAATCCAAATCTCAACGGAGTCGAAATGTGTCAACAATCACGGGTGCACTGGTGCGACGTGGTTCGAGACGCATTTTTACGACTTTGCAATTCCTTAAAAAAATGAAAGAACAAATAAATAAAATAAAAGCAATTTATTAATAAGAAGTACATAGGTTAGAACATGTTTTAAAATCAGATAAAAGCAAATACAACAGTTGAGCGACCGTGCTAGAACCACGGAACCCGGGAATGCCTAACACCTTCTCCCGGGTTAACAGAATTCCTTACTCGGATTTCTGGTTCGCAGACTGTTAACAGAGTCATAGTTTCCTCGGTTCGGGATTCAATTGGTGACTTGGGACACCATTAATCTCCCAAGTGGCGACTCTGAAATCTTAATAATAAATCCCGTTTCGATTGTCCTTTAAGTGGAAAAACTCCTTTACACCCTTGCGGGTGTAAGAAAAAGGAGGTGTGACATTCACAGACCCTGGTTCAGCAATTAGAGAAGACCTGCTGTCCATTATTCCGCCCATGATGTCTAGTGATGACAATGATACACTCACCAGCGATCCATCAATGACAGAGCTCAAGGAAATAGTATTCTCCCTGAACCCTCCTAGTGCAGCAGGACCTGATAGCATGAATAGGAAGTTCTATCAAGCCTGCTGGGAAGTGATCAAGGAAGTTTTCCTCAAAGTTGTTCTGTCATTCTTTAGAGGAAATCCAATGCCCAGATATATGACCAATGCATGCCTTGTTCTCTTGCCTAAGGTTGAATTCCCTAAAAGTCTCACAGAATTCAGGTCAATTAGTCTTAGCAACTTCATCAACAAGATTTTCTCCAAGGTTATTTACTCAAGGCTTGGTCCCATCCTCCCAAAGATAATCTCTACAAGCCAATCTGGCTTTGTAAAGGGCAGGAACATCTCTGAAAACATTATACTGGCACAAAAAATAGAGCATGGTATCAAGAAGCCAACTGTGTGGTCAAATGTGGTCATCAAGCTTGACATGGCCAAGGCCTATGACAGAGTATCCTGGAGTTTCACTTGCATCATGCTTAGGAGAATGGGATTCAGTGAAATGACCATTGACATGATCCGGAGAACTATGTCCAAAAAACGGTACTCAGTCATTGTTAATGGCACAAGATGTGGATTCTTTCAATCTACAAGAGGCCTTAAATAGGGTGATCCACTTGCCCCATCCTTATTTATCATAGGAGCTGAACTACTGTCTAGAATGCTCAACATTCTCAACCATGATCAGATGTTTCATGGATTTTATATGGAGAAGAGAGGTCCTTAAATCAACCACCTAAGCTTTGCAGATGATATCATCATCTTCACCTCTAGCAGAAGAAATTCCCTGAGAAAAATCATGTGGATTCTTAGAAACTATGAGAACACATCTGGCCAACTCATAAACAAACACAGAGTCATTTCATGACTGCTTCCTGTGCACTCCCAAGTGCTATCAGAAGAATTCAAGAAGTGACAGGCTTTTCTAGAAGGGATTCACCACTCACATACCTAGGCTGCCCTCTGTATACTGGTAGGAGCAGAATTATGCACTTCAGTGGTCTCATTTACAAGGTGCTAGGCAGAATAAAAGGTTGGCATGGTAAGATGTTATCCTATGGTGGCAGGGCAACCTTGATCAAATATGTCCTTCAATCCTTACCAATCCATAGACTTTCAGCAGTATCCCCTCCAAAGACTGTCATGAAGCAAATTGAAAGGTTGACAACTAGCTTCTTCTGGGGAATAGATAAGGACAAACACAAGTATCATTGGGCATCATGGTCTAAGCTATCCTTCCCTCTCAATGAAGGTGGTGCATGTTCTAGAACCATTCATGATACCTGTAAAGCCAATGGAACTAAAGTAAGTGGTGGCATTTCAGA